AGAGTATCAGCGTCTACCTCCGCTAGGAGATCAAGAAAAAAACGCCTACTAGGCGTTGTCTTCTTTATTTTCGTTTTTCGCATATTTGTATATGCTTTGAACATGTTTGAAGAGGTTCCAGTGACCAGTCATCCCAAAATTCGAGTTTTCTTTTTGGTTAACCTCGTCCTCACAATGTTTTTTTGTTTTTGTTTTTGATGAACTTGCTATTTTTACGCTGCTGAATTGTCTGCTCATATTCCTCCAGTTTCCGTATTTTGTCCATTTTTTTTTTAAGTAACGAGTAATTAAACTAATCCGGTAAAAATATTTTGTAACGAAATTACATTACAAATTTCTGCCGCAAACAAATAATGTGGCAATTACAAAATTACTTTAAAAAAAATAACAGATTACAAGTAATCTGCTACTTGTAACGAATTACTTCCCTTGTCTGCCGCGGACCGACGTGAGGACTTCGAGTCCGAGCTCATAGCTTCGGTTGCTGCTTTCGGTGCTCGAGCTACAAAACAAGATCAGCACCTCTCAAACTTGTGACCGTGTGCCCGTAGGTTTCGCTGCACTCCAAGCTAAAAGAGAACCATCACACTGCGCACGTGATGCTTGATTTGCATTCAGTCATAGTCTGGCCAAGGAAACAAAGATGAAGAAGGTCCCCAGCAGTGAAGCGGAATTTTTTCTAATTTTTACTCGTGAAAGAATTTCTACAACTGCGGTGCTTCCAATGCGATGAGTACCGAAACAACGACATAAAATGCAAACTCTTCTCAGCAAAGAGATGTACTACAGCGCGTCTGCCGGTATGGGCCTTAAATGGCGGGTGAGTTCACTGAACGCTGACTAATTCACGTGAACTGCGCAGTTGTATTTGCTCGCTTATTTTGGTCTAATGTTCCAAAGCAAGTGAAACATTGTTCTGCAAAAAGAAAAAGTGACTTACCTTTACAATAAAAGAGGAAAAGGCAAAAAAAAAAAAAAATGTCCAAGTTACTGAGGACGACCGCGGTATGCAGAGGTTCTACCCCAGCCTCTAGTTCGTAGGGGGCAACAAGCCTGTGCTTCCCCGCGCACGCACAGAAATCTACCGACCAGATGAGGATCCTTATGGCGTGAGTAACCCAAAGGTAATTTGCTGACTCTTTGTTTTATGTTATCGAGTGTTTACGCTCTCTGTCAATAGATGGAACCCACTGACTCATGCGCGAAACAAGCCTGCCGATCTCTTGCAGAGTTATAGTGTCGCGCAACCCCAGTGGTGTTGATGCTGACTATGACAAAGCTCTGCAGAATTTGACATTTTGTTCGATTGGGCAGGTCATGTTTTACTGAAATGCGAAGGAGACGCCAAGTGAAGGTACTAACGCTGTGTAAATGTCATCCACGTTTTGCATCAAAGTCATGCTCTATCAAGGCGACAAAATTGGAGAGAGAATGTACGCTCATAAGCTTTGCCTTGTGGAATAGAAAGAAGACTCAAAAACGCATTTAGCATTTAGCAATTTGCTTTCTGAAATGACTGACGGAAAGGGGCTTATGATAGCTAAGAAAACGGAACAAACTCATAAAATTATATTTACTTTACAGCTGGACAACGAAGCGAAGTGGGGATTTATTGTGGCTGAAACGACAGCATTCTGAATTGACACGACTTCAGCGCACACATCGTACGCAGCAACAGGCCCGGGTTTCGAGTCATCAGGCTCGCCTGTGAAGTGCCCAAATCGCGACGAGGGAAAGAAAAATGGAGACGAATACTCAGCCTCCGGATGAAAATTGCGCACAGATGCGTCCAATAAAATTACCGAAAGCTTTCCGGCAAACAGTTTTGATAATGTGGTTGATAATTTTGGAAGACTAGTGACGGACCACATCGGAAAATTAAATTAGGGATGTTTTATTCGGTGTCATATAAAGGTGTGAAAATAATTGAACGTCACCTAGACCATCCAAGAATATATAGCAATGCATCCCACTACGTATAAATCCAATGATCCGCAAGCGATAAACATGTTCAGGAATAGAAATTATCGATCTACAAGTCAGTCAGCTTTCACAGCATTTTATTCCTGAACAAAGTGAAGATGTTTCCTAGTTAGCATTTGCCTGTTTAATTTATAATTGAGCTAAATCACATTCACCCCCTTCTCAAAATGAAGTGTATATTCCACGTTTCATTACTCCATTTTGTAGCCAAAATGACCCCACGGTTCCGCGTTGTGGTATTGGCACTCATTGTTACATCTGGTTATGGGCTTGCATGCATACGTATTTTTATAACGCTTTGAGCTTTTAGAGAACTACTTTTGCCTTCAGTATTTAATACATTATGAATTGGTGTTTGTTTTCATGGAAGTGGGGCTTCTGTTTTGAAATGTTAGGAACTATAACTGCGCAAGCGGTTTGGTACTATATTCGTTCCTTCCAAGTTAGCCGAGTCTGCGGACCTGGCATGGACCTCGCAGGATCAGAAAAAAGCGAGAGTAGAATGTATTGAAAGTCTCGATAACTGTGATACGACAGGTCCGCGGACCTATGTGATGACGTTTGCTTACGTAATATACAACATTCCTCAGGTTCGCGGTCTTGTACCCCGACACGTTCCTGTGGTCCGCGGACCAGCTCTAGAGTTTTTAACGATTTTATTTTTAGCCTGGATCATGATTTAGAACCGCAGGAAAGATGACGTCACTGATTTCGTAAGAACTTGTACGCGGACACGTCCGTCCTGTGACAACACCTTTAAAAAACGCAGAAAGTGGCTTATTAGCTTTACGCTCCAATAATAAGCAATATTAGCAATCATAATGTGCTCGAAACTCGCCCCGCGTTTTATATCAGCTTTTCTGAGCTCATGGCGACTTTCATAGCACCATGTTGGTGAAAGGGCTGCCTCTCCGAAGCCGCTTTAAAGGACGTGTCGAGGGAGGATCTGCGAAAACGATTTGCTCAAACTCCCCTCAACACACTGAGTCAGAACTGTTTTACAAACATAGCTTTGCAGTGGGTAATTCATGTCAGTGAAGTGACGTGAATATCGACAGATTGATTTCTACGTTTAAATGCGTTCGATTATCTACTTATTAAAGTTCTTAACTTGGCACAGTCACCCACAGCCCACAATTGGCTTCATATACACGTGGCTGTTCCGTGCAATAAATATACGCGAAAAACTGTCTGCCAAGATACCACGAGATAGCAACAAAAAAAAAATATTATCCGAGGAAAGCTTTCATTAGCGTCGTCTCGCTTCAATGTCGGGCTGACACGTACAAAATCCCTTTGGAACAAGGGGCAGCTAGACATGTCAGTTTGAATTCAACGCGAAGAAACGAGCGCCATTCTCGCAAGAAACATTATTCTCTTCCTCTCGAACGATACCTTTCTTCTACCTTAAACCGCTAGTGACGGAAGAGAAAGCACACACGCGCCGGTAGCCTTAGATCTGTTGCTCTAGTCCGCTGGTCTGCGGATAAGACGAGAATATCGCTCATTCCTGTCCGACTGAGCACACATAACATTTCTTTGTTTTTATCTTGAAATTAAAGGGGAGCTAAAACACTTTTTGAAAAAAAAAAAGTTTGAGGTGAATTCTAACGTATTTTTATCCCGTGAATCTGAATATCACGTTCGTTTTCCCCGAAGATGTGACTAAACGCGAGAAAAAACGAAAAATCTCCGACCAGTCGTGACGTCATACTAGGATCTTTGGACCGCCAATCGCGTGTCACTCGTGTGGGCAGCGCGTGCCATTGCAAGCTGGCCAGGTATCTATTTCCGCACTGACGCCAGTCGCGACGTCTATTTCTGACCGTTTTGAAAATAGCAAGAGTGCGCGTGCATAGCTTTGACAGGCGCTGAAGATGCGCAAGAGCGGAGATTCTTGAAAACTCCTAGCATGACGTCACGCCCCAGGAAGAAGGGGCTTCAGAGGTACTTTAAAAATTAAATTCTTCAGCTTCCGTACACCAAATTGAAAAATGGGGTCGACATTTGTGATCCTGGAGGCCAAATGAAGATGATTTAAGTGTTTTTCCTCAAATACAGAATCGCTTTAGTTTTCCTTTAAAATTACTTTTTCTTCGATACTTTTCAAAACGTGAAGTTTGCTCTCCTGTGCCACGAACAGCCCCGTCGAGAGTCATCGAAGGCCGTGATAGTCGTTGAAAGATTGATTTTGTTTTCCTAGTGTCTGCCAAGCGCAACGGTGAGGGGACGCACACGCGGCGAACATTTTTTGTCGTCCCACCCTCAAGAGGCACGATTCCAAAAGAGCAGTGTCCCCGCATTCCGGGGGGAGCCTCGTGGTTGCACCAGACAGTAATTATCGGGAAAGGAGGCGGCCACAACAACAACCGCTAAACTTGACTTCGACAGCCAAGTGTGGACCGATCAGGCAGCCCATTGGTGGTCGGTGCGGTCAGGGTGGAAACAAACCACACCGCAAAGGGCCAACTAAGGCCACGCACTGAGCAGGCGGTAAGAAAGAAAGAACAAGGCTCCCTGGCGACTAGACCCGTATCAGAAAGAGTCCCGAAAGGCCCCGAAAGAACGCTAATCGGGACAGAATCTATCAGAACCGCTCCGAGACAAATTTCGCCTGTGTGCCCGGCGGCATTTTTGGCTTCCGTTCTTGTTTTGTGCTTTGTTCTCGATGGCGTGTCTTACGCGGAACGCAGCGAAAAACGATATAAACGGCCGGATACTTTACCATTTTTTGTTTTTTTGCTGCCGTTCTCTCGGAGGGCAAAACGTGATAGTGGCGAGGAGAAATCAGGTGCCTCGAAAGGCGTGGACGTATTCTTCGCGCTCGTTGTCCGCCTAACTTTCATCATGCCTTGGCTTTTGTTTTTTTGTTTTTTTCTTGTAATTTCATTGCCTTCAGTAGATTAGTTCGCCAAGGCCTTCAGATTTCGGGGTCGACTTGGCTGTATAAAAGTCGGGTTTGCTACTCTGTCAGGCATCAGTCTTCTCTAGGAACATTCCAGAGGAATACCGACATCATGAACACCCTTGTAAGTGTAACTGTCTTCCGTGACATTTCTCTAGTGACGTTTGTGCGTGATTTCCTCTTCGCACTCTCTGGGGAGTAGCCACTGCGTGTCCACTTTCCGAGATTGGTTCGCATGGTTTCGCACCATTCTTCAGCTTTTTCCGCGGGCTTTCCTGACTTGCGTGAAGTAGGCTTCACGGCAGCGAGTCAGCAAAGCGCGCAGAAGCGGCTCCTCTAAGACGACGAGAACGCTTTCGCATGACTGCGACGGTGTTGTCCATGTCTCGGAGTTAGTACAATATAGCGAAGTGATGTAGACTCACGTGGTGAAGCAGGTCATTTTGAAAGATTTCGTGCCTGATGTAGCCCGTGCATCTTGATTTCAGGCGCCACTGTTGCGGGCGAACAAGAGTTTGCAAGTTCGCTCATGTCCTCGGTTTCCAAACTCTTGAAACGCGCTCAAAGGGTACAAATTTTGAAAGTTCCCTGTCGTTTAGTCAACAGCTGTTCGCCCACTCTTGTTGGCTAAGCGACAGTTGAAGGTGCATTTGTAAAGATGGTCAATAAGCCCTCTAAATAATTGTTTGGTTAGCAGCAGGTCATCGACGTCAAATCCACTACCGCTTCTAACAATTTCCATAAAAAACCACGGACGCTTTTTTTTCTTTTTGTATATCTGGTTTGAACGTAATAGAGATTGCCAGAAGAACACGAGTCTTGGAGCATCCATCAGCGTTCTTTTTGTTAAGGCTATCTCCCGCAGAAACAAATCTCTGCCTAATTCTCAGTGGACTTCGGTGTATTAGGGATTGAACAGAGCGTTCTTATATTTGTTTGTTTTTTCTTAAGGGAGAGGGTGAGACTTTCTTGCAGTTTCAGTAGTACAACATACTACAAAAAAAAATTACCTTTTTTTTAGGAAACCAATGCGGGATGACAAAAGCATTACTAAAGTAATACCTTCGTCAACGATTGATTTATGTCCCGTTAGACCAAATAGTTGAGACAACCTCGCTGAGTTTATATTTTTTTTTTCCGCAGATTGTCTTCGCTGCTGTGATCGCGTGCGCCTACGCCGGCGGATATGGCGGCTTCGGCTACGGTGGCCTCGGCCTCGTCGGCGGCTACGGCCACGGCTACGGCCACGGCCACGCCCACGCTGTGGCTGTCCCCGTTAAGACCGTCTCCTACGTGAAGAGGCCCGTCGTCAACGTGGGCTACGTCACCCGCCCCGTCGTGAGCTACGTCAAGCAGCCCGTGGCCACCGTCTCCCACACCGTCCAGCCCGTTGTCTCCGTCAGCCACGCCGTCGTTGGTGTTGGCCACGGTGGATACGGTGGCGGATACGGCGGTGCCCTCGTCGGAGGCTACGGTGGCGGACTCCTCGCCGGCGGTCTCGTCGGAGGCTATGGCGGACACGGTTACGGCTTCGGAGGCTACGGTCTCAAGGGCTTCCACTAAACGCCGGTCGTAACAAACGCCTGCTGGCGTGCTCCAGCTGTGGTGCGCTTGATTCCTGTGAGTCCCCCTCCTCAAAGCCTTCTCCAGCTCACACCCTCAAACACAGTATGCATTGTGACTGAAATGGACGAGGCATAAAGTATGCGCGTAAAAATTAGATTGCAAACAGAAACGGGTTCGGTGGATGGCGAGAACCTGCAGCGTTTTGCCGTAAACCTATTTGCCAACCCCAATTACCGACAGTTAATGTCGTTCTCAGTGGGTTATCAGTTCATTACGGTTCTTCGAGATCCGGTTGATAAGCGAATGAAACATTCGTCCGGCTCACGGGTGTTTTGTGAATACGAGAATTTGTACTGTCTGCGGTTTCTTGCTTGGATGCAGCGGAGCAAAGTTTCTGACTGCTCCAGGCATCCTCACTGAGGAATGCATTCTCGTTTGCAGGTTCACAGTCAACTGAGGTGTACGGAAAGTCAGCTGCGACAGCTGTAAGGCTCTCCAGGATGTGTATTTATTCTGTGCATGGAACTAATAAACCTGCAATGTTCAAAGCAAAGCCAATGTCTCTTTGTAACTCCTATGTACCTCCTCCCTACATTTTTATTGCCAAGCGTCTTGACGCAAATATCGCTCCAGTTATTCCATGAGCATGTTATGCTTCCTCATATTAAACAAAGCTTGAAGTCACAAACCTAAGCACTACTAATTTTGATGACTGTCTTTGCCTGAAGTGCACACCACTACCTAATATAGAAGACAAATTTACTATACTTTGTTCACCTTTAAGCTGAGACTAGAAGCTCCGCCGTCAGCGCAAGCTTTCTGCCCTTGCTAACACAAGTGTGAACGAGCAGGCACTCTCAACCAAAGCACTGCGGAAGCCAGCGAGCTCGCGCTGAAGGCGGAGCTTCCAGTCTAAACTTAAAGGTGAACGGAGTATACCAATTCGCGCAAACAACAAATATTACCTAGCATTTATTAATTGCAATGAATGTGTGGATGAAATTATTCGGTCACTGTTGAATTCATGAGCCTACAACCTACAAGACCATGGAACAGTAAGTGCTGAATTTCGGCCAGCAGCAAACAGAAAACTGTCTTTGCGTGAAAAAGTCAACCGGTTATCATGTCTCAGCGGAGGCTTAAAAAAATGCTGTGACAAAATTTCACTACTTTCCTCAGCAACGAGTGGTTTGTGGAGAACAGGCCTACCGTTTTCCCCATTCGAAAAAGGTTGGCTCTATACTTACCGGCAGCATTTGGAAGTGCTTCCTCCCGGTGAAGGTAAATTTAAAGGGGGGGGGGGGGGGGGGGGGGGGGGTGCATATAATTACGGCTTGACCCCAGTTTTGATAAGTAAACATCCAATCTAAAAGCTACACTAAAATCTATCACGTCAGTTGGCAGCGTAGTTCCACGAAGGATTGCTATCGGCATTCTGTTACGATTTTGTTGATCTAGGGGGAGTGAAATATGGTGGCTAGAAGAAAGGAAAATAGGCCAAGACAGGCCTCAAGGCGCACCCCCCCCCCCCACACACACACGCACACACACACTTGCACACACACACACACACTTTTTCCCCGTCTTTTTGTGGGCGGCAACGGCCTGCAGCAAAACGTGCTCAAAGCGGTTTAGAACAGCCGCCAACACGGAGCGGTCTTGAAATTTTTTCATATGGAGCACATGTTTGTCCTAGTGCATAATGACATTCACTGAAAACGTCACAGGCAAGGCTTGTGAGGTTACGCAAATGTAAGTTTCGCACGAAAGTCTTCATATGGGGCACCAGTGTGTCGCAATTGTTTTTTCCCACATTATTTCGAAATCTTTTCATATTTCACATTGAAATACAAATCTACCAGGATGAAAGGTTCTTATTGGATCAAAATAAATATTACCATAAGAAAAGCTGCAAAAAAGAATAACGTCATCCTTGTGCTGCCAACGTGCACCGTGACAGTGGCGCCCGGTTTGCTGTTATGACACTCTTCGAGACTTTGCTAATCACAATTTCATCGCACCTTAAATTCACAATTATTTTTTTTATTCCTGATTAAAAAACAATTCCACGGAATGCTGGGCTAAACATCATAAGCGAACTGCATTTGCCTTGATTTTTTCAAAGCTTTTCGTAAAGTATCTCCCACACCTCTACACCTCAAACTTTCCTAACTCAACCGCTATCATGAGGAAAGAATACACAAGAAACGGGCAACACAGACGATGACACCCATTTAAGCTCGCAATGGTCGGAGATGGTCAAAATATGTGTCCTCATCTGCGCTCCGTATGTTTCTCGTTTATTGCTTCCTTGTGTTATGGTACGTATTCCAACGCGGTGATTAAAACTTTGACAGACACTAACGTCCTCGTATGGACTCAGTATTTCTTATCTCGCCGATCACAATTTTATACATATGGTAAATATAAAAACTCTTCCTTTATGTCTCAGTTGCTTCCGGTGTTTCTCATATATATATATATATATATATATATATATATATATATATATATATATATATATATATATATATATATATATATATATATAAACTCTTGATTTTATGTGTCCACAAACAACTCAAGGCCTTTTGTGTGGTACGCAAAACGTTTTCGAACATAACACAGGAAAGCAAGCACATTAAAATTAAAATACACATAAAAAAATATGCTGAAATTAAAAAGCATGCACAAGCACAAGTTGACTTCACCAAACTATGCAAGTAATATGCCGTCCAGATTACGACTAAAAGTTGATATGTCGCTAAATATGTCTAGCCGTGAAGAATCAGTAATTCTACGCAGACCATATATTCCTTGTTCTCCTTTAGTATTTTATTTGACGTTTGCTCAGCTCCAACCACGGCAAGATTCATGCTCTTCAGATATATCTCGCATTGTGAAGAGCGTCCAAAAATTGTACTTTATTAAAACTGTATTTGAAATGCACAATTTGTTTTTATAATTGAATAAAATCGAAAAATACATTCTCAAAGTGGTGTACTATAATTAAATATAAAATATAAAAAAGGCAAATCATTTTGATTACGTATTCAAAATTGTTGTATATAAAATCCATTCCTCTCCCTCGCTAATACTAACCGCATGGTGGGTAATCTCGAACATATTGTTTGTTAACAACTGCTTTGCTAGTTTTTTTTTTTTTTTTTTTTATATATAAAGTTTGTATTTACCCGTAGTTCGGATAGCCGCCCACTTTATGCTTCCTTTCGTCTTGGTCATCAGCACAAAGGGGGGGGGGGGGGGGGGGGGGGAGCATTCCAAGTTACATCACGACAACGTTCCATGCATCTTTCGTTCTTCCTACATCCCATGACTGTAACTCTCTTCCCCTGAGATGGCCTCCATCTAATGCAGGTGCTGAGTTTTTCAAATATTCCATTACCAAACATTGCTTTGTTGCGCTTAACTTGTATTTCCTTACTTGTTGCCCTGCCCCGCCGTGTGAGTCATATGAATCTTGAAAACACAACAAATAAAAAAAATAACCTTACGTTGACCTTATCCTTCATATCAGCCGTCGGGTAATCTGTTCTTTCCCAACAATAAGGTCGATCAATCAAAAAGAACTCTAGCAAAAATGAAAGTTGAGTAAACTGATCGGCCAGTGGACTGTGCGCCGCGTGAGTGAACGTTCCCTTGCCGGGCGCGCAGACCGGGAGACTGACTGAACCGACGACGGCCGCGAATGTGAGATCGCTACTTTTTCACGAGCAAGCAAACGCGCGTGACGGAGCACGCGCCAAAATCGCATGAAAAGCGCCCCAGGACGCTTTGCTGGGATCGGTGCATTCGCGGCGAGACTTCTGAGCATCGCTGCCTGGTGGATTTTTTTCACAACCCAGAGTGAGGATACTTCAACTTCCTCTGCTGGTGGAAGCACGTGCAATGCCAAGCTTCTATGCACCGTGAAAATGAAAACACGGCCGCATAGGTAGCACGTGCACCACCCATAGTGAGGCAAACAGAAGCGCTCCGAGCTCCTCACCGCAAATAGGCGGCATTACAGCAAAAATATGCGGCACCATCGAAACTGGAATAATGCAAATACCGGAGCCGCACTCCGGTAACTCTACCGATCGCTTTCGTGTCCTTTATCGTCGATACTTGTTTCCCGAGAACCCGATAATGAGTCAGGTGTTGACACGAACAGATGTCGGCGGCAACAAACGGACTTACTGCTCGTCTAAACTGCCTCGAAGCTCAGCACATCCGAGCGGGTCGCCTGGCTCACTTTTGTGCCGCGCTTTATTTTTATGCGTTTTACGACTCCCGGAAGATATATAATGAACACCGCTCTGCCATGTTTCCGAGCACTGGTTTCAGAATTACAAACACACTGAGACAAGTGCGACGGAAGCACTAAAACGTGACACCAATGAACGAAGAGTTTCACTTTGGCCACGTGATTGTAAGGCCCCCACCCCCCACTAGGGTGATATATTCACACTGCTTTGGAAAGCTAGTGGACGTAGTTGTGGGAACAGTGGTTCTCCATGGTATAGCGACGCATGCCATTTTTCGGACTAATAACGCCGACCGCGGCTCTTGAAGTGGACACGAGCACTGCGTAATTACTCATAAGGTTAGGAACCATCGACAGCTCGATGGAGGTTCGGTCGGGCCTCATGTTATGCTTCTTTGTAGAGTAAAATTGTTAATGATTCTGATCAACACACAACAGCATTGGTATAAGTGATTATATCAGAAAGAAAAATGCGTTGACGCTAACGGACAACTTTTTTTTTTTTTTGGGGGGGGGGGGGGTGCATTTTCTAGTTCCTACAGACTTTTAACACATGGTTATATGCTGTAGAACCAGGAAGTGATATCGCCGTAAAGATGACGAGGGCGGGCAACGCTGGGCTAATGCTGCGTAGACACCTAGTATCTGTGAACATTGAGCGATAGAAACGATGCCAGTTCTCGTTCAAAGAGCAGAAACCTCCTGTGTTCTCAAAACCAGCCTAAAAGGA